ACACTGACCACCGGGGGCAGACGCTCAACACAGGAGCTGCCCCCTGGTGGTCAATGCGCTCCCACAGGGGGTGCGCTGCTCAGCCACAAGCTGGGCTGACAGCTGGCAAGCCCAGCGGCCCACCTCCAAGGAAGTGCTAAGCATGTCCAACTGTGGCTTATATCCGCTCCCCACAGGGAGCGGGCCTAAGCTGTCAGTCAGACATCCCCCAAGGGCTCTTGGACTGTGAAAGGGCACAGGCCAGGCTGAGGGATCACCGCCCCCGCCCCAAGTGCACAAATGTCATGCACCAGGCCTCTAGTACCTCTATAAAGCTGAAAAAGTGAAAAAAATCACATATCTATTAAACTTTTAAAATAACTGATTTGTTAATTTAAAAAATGTCCTAAACAGCTATTTTACATTGCATGTTTTATTTCTATCTGTGGGTAGCAGGAATTTCTACAAAAACATCAAGATAGCCCTGGTCGTAGCTCAGTTGATTAGAGCATCAACCCAATACACCAAGGTTGTGAGTTCAATCCCCAGTTGGGGCACATATAAGAATCAACCAATGAATGCATAAGTAAGTGGAAAACAAATCAGTGTCTGACTGTCTGTCTGTCTCTCTCTCTCTTTCTCAAATGAATTTAAAAAGTTTTTTTAAGAGTAAATGAAGACACTATTTTCTTGAGAAGAAATTAAAAAAAGGATAAAGAAGCCTTTCAGGGTTTCCAAGATTTTAAGATATACTTAAAAAGATACATCCCATTAAATCAAATAAAGCTGGGATAGTAACATTTGCTTCATATTAGCAAATGAAACAAGTGGAGCTGAATGAGGTTTAAGGAGCAAAGTAATATATTACAAAGAATAGATTATCGCCAGTGACTTACCATTTAGTCATAAATAAATTTGTTCTCTAACCTTCTCTAAATATCACAAAGAGGAAGCCATACTATTGAAATTTTGTGATACTTTGCAGAACAAAGAAACATAAATAACTTTCTCATAATTTATAGAAAAGTATTTAATTATACATAACAATACTAAAATATTGATTACATGACCCGTTTACCTTGAGAGCCTCAAAGTGAATCAAATATATTTTCCATAGCTATGATAAGTATACACATGTAAAAATAGCAGATATAGTATTCTTCATATATGCTGTTTCTATTCAAGCTAGTTTGAAAAACAACAAATTCTGTTGGTGAGCTTGATTGGAAAAAAATAAGAAACTCACTTCTTTTTCTATATTCTGAAAAGTTGCAAAGAAATGCCCCAATAATCATAAATATGGTGGCCAAATATGCGTATTTCCCTAATGTCTGCATAGGTCAATGGTTTCCATGGATGTTACCTAATTGTATTTAAATTAAAAACTAAGCAAGCATTACAAGAGAAATACAGGGAGCCAGCACAAAGCAAGAGGTAAACTAGCAGATAATAAGATTTACATACGAAAGAGGACCATTTAAAGAGAGAGGAAGGGAGAGGGAGAGAGAGAGAGAAAAAAAGACATCAAAGTGAGAGGGACTCTTCAATAAATGATGTTGGGAAAATTGGACAGATACATGCAAAAAGATGAAACTAGACCACCAACTCACACCATACACAAAAATAAACTCAAAATGGATAAAAGACTTAA